GGGCGCCTTCACCGTCTTCTCCGATTTCCTGATGTACAAGTCAGGTGAGGGGAGCACTTGCCTTCGGGTAGCCTGGGGCCCCAGCCGCCCCCCCACGTCCTGGCTCTGCCCCCAGCGTGGTCTCTTCTGCCTTTGCTTCTGTCCTTTATGAGCACCCCCAGCTGAGCATCCTGACTCCCAGTCCTCCCCTTTCAGCCTCCTCAGCAGCTGGGATTACAGGTGCTGGCTGCCACCGGCAGCCGATGACAATTCTTGTTTTTATTTTTTGGTCCATCATGGGGCTCGAATGCACTCTCACTTTGAGCCACAGCACCACTTCTGTTTTCTGGTGGTTAATTGGAGAGTCTCATGGACTTTCCTGCCTGGGCTAGCTTTGAACTGCAGTCCTCGTATCTCAGCCTCCTATGTAGCTAGGATTACAGGCGTGAGCCACTGGCCTGGCTTGACAATTCTTCTTGGACCAGGTCCCTGCACTTACTGGGCAGGTGCTGCAGCACTAAGTCATGCCTTCAACCCTTTATTCCACTGGGTATTTTGAGATGGTCTCACCCACACCCACACCTGGACCACGATTCTCCTATTTTACTCTTCACACCATAGCTGGAATGGCAGGCTGAGACAGGGTCTCCCCAGCCTTGCTCATGTTGGCTTGCACCTTGATCCTACTGATCTCAGCCTCCCTACTAGCTAGGATCATGGACGGGCACGAGCTACCATGCCCAGATGATGACAGTTCTTTATTCAAGCCCTACCCACATACTAAAGATGCACTCTCAGTTTGACAGTGATTCCCCCACCAGGGTAAGACGTGGTTGAGCAGCAGGGCAGCAACTGGCCTATCAGCCAACCCACTCTCCAGAGTGCCCCACAGTAGCAATCTCAGGGCCTGTAAGTGAGCCCCTGGCTGGAATCCCAGGACGCACACTTGGCATTGTTGGTTTTCATGAGTCAGCGTTTGTTGAGTAGACTTTTATTTTGCGAGTACTCGGAGGTGGAGTGCACAGTCCTCCTCGGAGGCCTGCCGCTCATTTTCACAGCTGCTCCTCACATTGGAGTGGGTTCAGCTTTCAGAAATATTTACAGCCACGTGTAGTGGCACACACCTTTAATCCCAGCAATCCTCAGGAGGCTGAAAAGAAGTGAAACCTATGTGAGGTAATCTCCCCAGGTCCTGGGAACCCCGGGCCCTTCTGACGGGCGGTGATGCTCCTCCCCATCGCTGAGCTTGCCGGAGGGCTGGCTGGGCGGCGCTGGTGGGGGGCATGGATGGGGGCACGCGCCCCCACCGGCCTGCCCTGAACCGCTCCCCTTCCTCAGGTGTGTACAAGCATGTGACCGGAGATATGATGGGCGGCCACGCCATCCGCATCCTGGGCTGGGGAACCGAGAATGGTGTCCCCTACTGGCTGGTGGCCAACTCCTGGAATATTGACTGGGGTGACAAGGGTGAGTGGCAGCCCCCGTCCCGCTGAGGTGGAAGCCACGGGCTGGGGTGGCCTCCCTGCCCCACGCCTGGCGCGGCCCCGAGCACCAGGCCTAAGGCTTTGCTCTCGGAGAGGGTGGTGCGCACACAGCCGCATGGCACCTGGGATACAGCGTGAGTGCCAGGCTACCAGGGAGCTGCTGGAGGCTGGGCTTGTTGACTCAGTCATCTCCTAAGTCATCCCAAGTTCAAATACACTGCAAGGGTCAGAGCCAAGTCAGTCAGGCATGGTGGCACATGCCCGTAATCCCAGTAGTACTCAGGGAGCCTAGGCAGGAAGATCGTGAGTGTAAGGCATAGACCGAAATGCCATATCACACACACCAAAGCATTATTACTTCTCTTTCCCCAGGCTTCTTTAAAATCCTCAGAGGAGAGGATCATTGTGGCATCGAATCCGAGATCGTGGCAGGAATCCCACGCACTGACCAATACTGGGGAAGGTTCTAATGGGCTGCAGGCCTGGCTGGTTCTAGGAGAGGTGTCCCCACAGGTATAGTCTTGTAGCTGGGAATGAGATGGAGCAGGAATAGCTCTTATCCTTGGAGTTCACATAAGATGCAAGAGGTTTTAGACAAAACCTGAAGGACTGAATTGAACCAAACTCACGCCTGCCATCAGCGGTCTTCCGAGGAGACTTGTGTGGACAGACAACGCACCCAGAGTCTCCCATCTAGACTAGTGCTGTGTGTAGCGCCGGCTGTCCAGCTCTGCTGCATCCCTCCGCCCCCGCCCTCCTCCGGAGCACCTCCCGCCCAGGCAGAGCGCACACCCAGGGCGGGGTCCTCAAAGGACAAATGCTGCTCCGAGCATCGCACCTCCTGATCTGTGACCCGTGCAGAGAGCATGCGTGCAGTCCATCCTCTGCAGAAAGCCCCTGCATCCATCCCTCCTTCTAGGACCTCTAGTCTTGCCCTGGGCTGCTTTTTTTTTTAATAGGAGTTTGGTTTGCTTTGGGTTTTGTTTTGTTTTGTGCACCTCAGCTGATCATGTGAATGAACAAGACTAAGAGTTGGAAGATTTTCTCCTCGTGGCCTGGCTTGAAGCAAGCCACAGTGTCAAGATTTGCTGGCTGATCTACTGACCTCCACTACCACAGTGAACTTAGTTTGGGAGAAAACGGCTTTTGCTGTTTCTTTTTTTAAAAAGAGAAAAAAAATCACTGCTTAACCGTGTCCATCTTTAACAAGGAATGACTGTGCCAATAAAAGATTGCTCCAGCTTGAAGTCTGTGCTCTGATGGTGTCTGTGGCAGAGGCCTGCAGCAGCCCCCACAGCCTCCTGCCAAGCTCTAGCTGCCAGCCATGTTCGCAGGCCCTGGCACCTCTCTCCTGTAGTTCCTGACTCTCAGAATGGTGCCCATGCCTTGATGAGCCTGGGCCCCACTGTGTGTGTGCACGCGCATGCCACAGGCCTGCACCAGGTGTCCGTCCACGTGCCCAACCTGCACAGAGCCCCGCCACCCCGAGGAGGGGCAGAGCCTGTGTGAGGTGCTGGCAGGCTGGCTGGTTGTCAGCCCTGGTCAGGACCCCTAAGTAACAGGAACCGAGTTCTTAGGAAAGAGAAGACTACAGTGCCCAGCGCTCACCCCGCCAGCCTGCTGGTGGCTTAGCGCTTCCATCATTGTGAGCTGGGCCGCCTCTTTCCAGAAGCCTGGGAAGTTTAGGCATCAGAGCTACATCAAACAAGCACTTGTCTGGGCATCAGTGGCTCACTCCTATAATCCTAGCTACTCAGGAGGCTGAGATATGCGAGTTGTGGTTTTAAGGCAGCACAGACAGAAAAGTCCGTAAGATGCTTTTATCCAGGTAGCCACCAAAAAGCCAAAAGTAGAACTGTGGCTCAGTGGTAAAACACCAGCCTTGCACAGAAAAAGCTAAGACAACCCAGGCCCTGAATTCAAGCCTCAGTACCAAGAAAAAATAAAATCTTGTCTGGTAATAACATGTAAAATGACCCCAGGGATCACCACCTAGCCAATTCCATAGTTTTCTTGGGTTCTCACAAGAAAGATGGAGCAGGTGCCAGTGGCACATGCCTGTAATCCTACTCGGGAGACTAACATCTGAGGATCATGGTTCAAAGCCAGCCATGTGAGTAGACTCAAGAACTGGAAGTGGTGCTGTGGCTCAAGTGGTAGAGCCCTAGCCTTGAGCAAAAGAGCGGGGACAGTGCGCAGGCCCAGAGTTCAAGCCCCAGGACTGACAAAAGGCAGGTGGCAGGGGTGATGCCTTTTCAGCCTCTTGGGATGGCTCAGACTTTCTGCCACATGGAACCATAACAAAGGCTGGCTATTTGATGTGGGCAGAGTAGGTGACTTCACCCTAGCACCTGTTAGATGCCAGACTGCAGGTGACCCCCAGGTACATTCAAGCTGGAGGAATGCCTGAGCGGTGGTCTCACCAGCTCACCAGCCCTGGCTGGTCACAAGCTTTTGGTCCTAGTAATTGGACACACGGAAGCTTGGGAGTCATTTCTAAAGCTGTCAGGAGTGCCAAAGCGGCCCTGCGCGGTGCGCACTGCGGTGACTTAGACGTGGCTAAGTCGGCCTGGTACTGGGGGCAGTGATTGAGGGGGACCATCCATCATGCGGAGAGGCCCAACGCAGGGAACTCAGGTCGTGGAGTTAGCTCTCCCGAGGAGAAAACAAGGCCACGCCTGGCCCTTCTTCCTGTCTCGTCCACATACGCCCATCCTGACCATCACCCTGGGACACTCACCTTTGGCCCCCCAGGTGGAACCCCTGGGTTTAGACTTGTAGCCTCCAAAAACCGCACTTTCTCTTTGTAAAGTACTCGCCTCAGATACTTTGTTTTGTGACAAAAAACAAATGCATATAGCAAAAACATGTAATGGCTTTTTTCTGGACACACCTCTAGCCTGGGGACACCTCCTACCCCCAGACCAGGGATGTGCTAGGAGAGGGGGAAGGGTTCCATAAACCACCCAGGGAGAACGAGAGTATCATTTGACCTGACTGCCCACTCTACTATCTGAACACCATCATGCACCTTTCTTGAGTTTCAGGAAATAAACAGAAAAACCTTCCATTTTTAACTCAGCTCAGAGGATGAGTCCAAAGCGAAGGGGCTGGCAGACTGCGGTGAGACCACGCGACCACCGCTCCTCCAGCAGCAGGGCTGCCGGCGCTCCTCCAGCAGCAGGGACGCCGCAGCTCCTCCACCAGCAGGGCCGCCGGCGGCCCGCCATGCCCCCCGCCCCCGCCGGTGCTGGCAGATGGCCTTGTCCCTCAATCACTGACCACGTGCCCGCAGCCAAGCAAGTGGCAGTGACTCAACAAATGCTTAGTGCACAAGTTACTGCAAAAACCTCCCAAGTGTCTAAAGCAGGGCCACCACGCTACCTCCAAAAGCTTAAGGTCTCCCGCTGAGAAAATAATGCAGCCCGAACACCCCAACTTTCTTTCCTAGCCCCCACGGCAGAAGACTAAATCTGTACTCTCACGAAGTGCAGATATACACCCTAGCATGGGAGCCTTCACATTCACAGGACAAGATGGCTTCAAATTAAATTAACTTTAATTAGCATAACAGATTCACCAAGTGCGCCCCCAGGTGGCCACCACCTGAAGTGCAGTGGCCCATCAGCTGGCCCACAGCAGCAGGCTGCGGGGGAAGGCATCCCTTCCTTCCACTGTCATCTTCTCCAGTGCGCCTCAGTTTCCAAAAGTCCAAGCACAGAGTTCACTGAGGAATCAAAGTAGGAGGGAGAAAACCAAAGGGAAGCCAAGGGAATCCAGTTGTGTGTAGACTTGAGCATCAGTGTTCGCCGGTCTGCACATACTCGTCCGTGACCTGGGACAGGGTGCTCAGGTACTGCCAGCTCAAGGCGGCCACCAGCATGACAAACGACAGGTAAATGGGGGAATAGTGGCTTCGCGAGATCAGCTGACAGTTGGGGAGGTTCTGGGTCCGGATTGTGGAGATGATGTGTCTTGTTTGACTAGAACATGGGTCCGAGGAGGGGATTCTTTGATATATCTGTTCAAGAAAACAAAAAGAGTAAGGAGATAAGAGTCTCATGGAGGGCTGGGAAGGTGGCTCAGTGGTAGAGCGCTTGCCTTGCATGCATGAGGCCCTGGGTTTGATTCCTCAGTACCACATAAGAAAAAAGAAAAAAGCCGGAAGTGGCGCTGTGGCTCAAGTGGTAGAGTGCTAGCCTTGAGCTGAAGAGCTGAGGGACAGCGCCCAGGCCCAGAGTTCAGGCCCCACGACCGGACTCAAAAAAAAAAAAAAAAAAAGATTCTCATGGACTTTCCTGCCTGGGCTGGCTTCAAACCCCAATCCTCAGATCTCAGCCTCCTGAGTAGCTAGGATTACAGGTGTAAGCCGCCGCATCTGGCTTCAGGGTGCTTTATAAGCATCTTCTGTGGGTACTGAGCTATCTTCACAGGCAGGTAACTGAATCCCAGGCCTGTCACCATGGAGGAACTGGAGTACCTCTGCCAAAAGCAAGGGACGGCACCCCAGGCTGGTCCACCCAGCAAGCATGGCCCAGTGTGTATGCTGCCCCAGGGTGCCTGGTTCACAGCAGATACCAGGTAAATGCTGGCATAGTTCAGAGTAATGTGGAGAAGGAAAATGATTCTAGAAGGACTGGGCAAAAGCAGCTTCAACAAGTAATACTCGGCATGTGGTCTGAGCCCCAGAAGCAAGGAGGCCCAAGGGTCCTCCTAGAATCCTGGCTGGATGTCCCATTCCTGACCCCCAGACCTGAGTGAGGAACTAAAGCCAGAGTGCATTGCGAGGCCCTGTAGAAAGAAAGAAAAGGGGAGGAGGGAAGGAAGGAGGGTGGGAAGGAAGGAAGGAAGGAAGGAAGGAAGGAAGGAAGGAAGGAAGGAAGGAAGGAAGGAAGGAAGGAAGGAGTTTGATGATTTATAATTAAAAGACCATCACTTAGTGAGAAGAGCTGTAACGAATCCATCTAGATCCTCTGGGTTTTACACACCCAAGCGCCAGTCTGTCCAGCTGAAGAAACTGGTAGCCACAGGGAGAGTGAGACAGGAAGCTTACAGCCTTGCTTGGGATTCCCTCTGGCGGAGAGGGGAATAAAGCCTCTGGCATTTGTCCACACATTACTTCTATCCCCAAATTATTACTTTGGGATGAATGCCCACGACGCAGGGCTGCAGACACAGACGAGGGCCCGAGGCTCAGCAGCCGTCAACCTGCTGGGCAGGACAGGCCGCCTGCACCTCCTCAGGTGAAGGCAGAGGGGCCAAGGAGAGCCTGGCGAAGCCCCGGCCAGGGGATTCTCCATGCACCACAGGCCCAGAGCCTGGGCAGGAGAAACGTGCCCTCCTCTCTCACTACAAACACAGCCTTGTCAGTGAGAACAGCAAGGCAGGTCCAGCCAGCATCTGGACAGAGGCCAGAGCGCCCAGGAGCCTGACATGAGTCTCCACTTACAACCCTATCATGTCCTTATGCTGACATTAAAACCATCATCACAGTTTACTGCCTGGGATCTTCTGATCTCTGAACCAAATCCACGTCAGTGTTATTAGCATTTCCTTCAGAATACCTTGCGTTTTACTAGACTAACTTTTAATCTGGAGCCCTAGATCAGGGAGCCAAAGTATATTTTTAGCTTTCTGGGCTCCCCTGTCAGAGCTGTTCAACTCTGCCCTGAAACTGCAAAAGCAGACGTGAGTGAAAACAAATGGACGTGGCCGAATTCCAATAAACATAAAAACAGGAGGCTGGCCAAGGACAGCTTGCCCTCACACTGCAATCACAGGCAGGATTACTTCCTACTATTAAGGAAAAGCCAGATGAAAACACATGAACTTTAAATGTCCATAAAATTTTTGATTCCCTAAAATCCGTGAGAATAAAACTTTACTTTCTTTTTCTAAGGGAGACCAACTCCAGTCTCTCTAGACCATAATGAGGTGTTAGGGTCATCTAGATTACAAACATGGCCTTCTCCAATAGTCAACCTATGAAAACCATCAAACTCGCTATAAATTCCCCACCAGTAACAGAAACTCACCTCTTCTATGTACTGGTATATTATAGCTTTGACGGCTGGCATATTGGTGGCATCCATCATTAGGGTAACTGCTTGTCCTTTCCGGATCTTCACAACCCCTTTGAACACCTGCTGATTATTGTAACAGGCAGCCAACGTGGCAACGGCCATGACCTACAGACAGCAGGAGGGGGAGAAAAGGAATCAATCCATGCATAGTTTGCCAGGGCCAACAGCAATCCCTGTGCAGACTGTGCAGTCTGAACGCTGAGCAATCAATCTAGAAAAAGACCTACAAAGTACACCAAGACTGTCTTTCCACTCCTTTTCCCAACGACAGTTTGCCATGTTAAAGGATTCTGTGGTGCATGGGACTCAGGAGGCTGAGACCTGGAGGACTGAGGTTTGAAGCAGCCTAGGCAAAGAAGTCCAAGCAACTCCATCTCTAATGAACCAACAAAATGCTGGGCTGGAGGCATGCCTCCAATAACAAAACTCTGACTGCGTGTGAAAAAGCTGAGAAAAAGCTTGAGGCTTTGAGTTTCACAACTAGTATCAGCATGTATACACACACACACACACACACACACTCACACACATCTGTTATTTAGCCACAAAATTTCCCTTTTTTATTTAGAAAAACAAACACAAGTAAATTCAACATTTTCTACACTAGATAACAGGTTAAACTAAAAAATGTATTTCAAAATATGTAGACAGAGCTTCCTATTTTAGTTATCTACGGTGACTATGGCACAGGCAGGAGGGGAGAGCAACTGAGGAGGAGGTGCCTTCCTCTACTCAAAGCTAAACCACTTCTGGGGTAAATGGATTTCTTTTTTTGTTTTTTTGTTTTTGGGTCTGGTCGTGGGGCCTGAACTCTGGGCCTGGGCACTATCCCTCAGCTCTTCAGCTCAAGGCTAGCGCTCTACCATTTGAGCCACAGCACCACTTCCGGCTTTTTTCTTTTTGCTTATGTGGTGCTGAGGAATCGAACCCAGGGCCTCATGCATGCAAGGCAAGCGCTCTACCACTGAGCCACCTTCCCAGCCCCGGTAAATGGATTTCTAAGGTGGGCAGAGATTTCCATTCCACTACAACTGAGAGCTAGTTACTGGAACAAGACCAAACCATGTTTCCAAATCAGTGACACCTATGACATTAATTTAGTCCGGGTCTCTAAAATCATCAGGAAGGGAAATTAGCATATGCACTCCTAGAAACTGAGACACTGGTCTGTGGGATCAGGTTTTTTTATCCCAAGGCTAGGAAAGGACAAGAATAATCTGGTGCTTAACTTTTTTGATAATAGCACCATCCAAGTGAGCATCGGGATCTAGCTAGTTTGGAATAGTTGATAGGGAAGATTAGATCTAGGAGGAAGCTTCTAGAAAAGAACGAACAACCTTGAGTCTGAGGTGAGTGTGCTGGTGTCATGAGTCCCTGTGGCTCCGCAGCGAAAGGAAGTCGGCTAGGGTCATCTCCCTGAACGCGGCAGAGCCCCAGGCTGTGCTCTCCCGGCTCCCCTGTGCCCCTCCGTACCTGTGGAATTGCACAGAAGTTAAACACGCTCTGATTCCGGAGCCGTGACAGGTAGGTGATGACGTCCGGGATGTGGTGCAGCGCATTGGTGATGAGCTCGTTCAGGCACTGCACGGCCACGTCAATGTTCTCCGGCTTGGCAAAATCCCCCAGCTTCTTCACATACCTGCCCCACACCTAGCCAGGCACAAACATCCAAGAGCAAGTCAGCGTGTGCCCAGGAGGTTTAGAAATGGAACCCAGGGCCCTGGGGCCCACGGGCTGGCTCAGTGGTAGAGCAGTGCCTGTGTGTGAGGGGCCCTGTGTTCCATCCCTGCCAACAGGAAGGGTGAGGCCGCGTCACCGAAGGTCTTTCACCAGATCAAGTGGTTTCAGTTCTACACGGCTGCCATCCATGACCACCCACCAGGTCCAGTCCCACCCCGGGAGGAGAGGGGGAGGCAGAGGTTTCAGTGCCCTGGGCGACACTCAATGCAGCATGTGACAAGTACTATCCTGATGAGCTCAGACTGGAGAGAGGCTGCACAGGGGATCTGTCTACTGCTGCGAAAGAACCCAGCAACTGACAAAATCAGCTACAATACTGCAAGGGAAACATTACAACGCCCAAGGGAGCCAGACCTCAAACTCCTTAAGAACTAAGCCCACTATTCCTTTTCTGCTAAGAAACAGCATATTTGGGGAAAATAAGTGATTGTACAGTGCAAAAAATCATCTCCCTGAACCTTAGAATTTGAAAGTGAAGTAACACCTGATTCCAACAGTGCGGTTAGTGGGGTGGTTCCCTCTTGGGTTTTTTCCTTTATTTTTGTCATTTTTTTGTTTAGTTTTTGAAAAAAGACATCACTAGACAGCCTTGAACTCGTGATATTCCAGTCTTATTCTCCTGAGTGATGGGACTACAAGATGCATGCAGCATACACCAGCCAGCTTTACTGCTGTTAGAGGGCTCCCTGAAGCTAGCAAATAATTCACTTTTATTCTTAGTTATTATTCTTAAGCTTCCTAAAAATCTTGCTTTATGTAATTTTACATAATCTTTAAAATAAAGAAGTAGACCTAAAAGGTCTATTCTATTGACTTACTAAAGTTCAAATTTGTTATGTTTTTAATTTGAATTTAAATACACACAGTTGATATTGCTGGATGTGTCTGCAAAATTACTTCATAAACCTCAAACCCATCATCTAACACTGACAATGCCATAGGACAAAATGTTGTTCCAAGCTGACCTCCAACAATATGATGAACTTACTGGAACTCAACCCATAGTTTCATGCATGCAAGGCAAGTACTCTACCTCTGGCCTGACAAGACTGGTGATCATATTTTATTAACTTTTGGGTTATCTCCCATTTTATAACCAAGAGTTCTGTGACCAGCACATATTTCTTTTTATATGCTCCACTGTGTGGAAATAGTAGAATTCAATTAGCTTCCTATGGAGAAAAGACACTTCAATTATGAACATCGCTGTAATGAATAACCTCACACACTCCATTCACCAAATTGCCCTCCTTTAGCTCTGCAACATAGCACATACGCCCAGCAGCAGAGCGGTCTCTGCCCAGTCTTCCTGAATGTGTCACCTAGAAGGGCTTTTGTCCACCTGATGGGAGTATGGCAGGGTAGGCCTTGCTTGAGAAGCACTTTGAACCAAGGTGGGGTAAGCTTACACTAATGAGGCACACCACCACCTGGTGGCCACGGGAGGTACAGAGGGTCCCCACAGCATTGTCCACGCTGAGACCACCTGCATTTTCCTCACTAGAAGGCTGAGCATCTTTCTGTGAACTTCATTCTTTCTCTTGGACTATTTTCCACAACGTGCCTGGTCTTTTTCTGTTTATTCTTGTTTATTTATGTATTTTTGGTTGGTTGTGGGGCTTGAACTCTGGGCCGGGCGCTGTCAGCTCTTTAGCTCAAGGCAAGCGCTCTACCACTTGAGCCATTGCGCTACTTCGGCTTTTTCTGTTTATGGGGTGCTTAGGAATCAAACCCAGGGCCTCATGCATGCAAGGCAAGTGCTCTACCACTAAGCCACCTTCCCAGCCCCTCTGTTTATTTTTTTAACTTGTACAAGTTCTTTACATATTAGGAATATGAGCCCTTTATCTGTAATATAAGTGGCAATTTTTTTTTCTCACTCTGTCTTAAAAGCACTTGATTTTAGAAAACTATTTCATGGAAGCAAAAAAATTGTAACTGCAGGAGTGAGCTCAGCTAATAGCCACAACATTTTCTAACTGTCCTCCAATGGCAAAGCCCTTCCTTTCCCTATTAAGTCAAAGACCAGCCCTGTCTCTTAGAACTGGCACCTAGTCTTGGGTTATCTAGTATCCCTTGCCTTTTCTTCGAGGTGCTAGGTCTTCAGGAGCTACCTCTCTCCTGCTTCCTGCCACAGTGCCACAGGATTCTTCATGGAGGAATCCACCCAATGAGCACTGGGAAAATCTAACCCCCGTGGGCCAATCAAGACACAGCCCTCTGGCTACCGGAGGAGGATGCCTGGGAGAAAACATTTTGGTTAAGCTACTGTGCGTGGGTTCTATCTGCTATTTGCAGGAAATCTATGCAGAGAAAGCAAGTAACTATTCACAGTCTAATCTCTGGACCCAACGAGTCCCCAAAAGAAATCCATAAAAGAAACCCATCCTCCTCCTGCTCAGTCTCCACCCTCGCCTTGCATACCTTGACTTGGTTTCTGTCACTTGCGACCACAAGGTATGATAATATTTTCATAGAATGTATTTGTTTTCTTTAACTGGGGTGACTTTGTCCAAAAAGAAATGTATTCTTTACCTGACTTATGTCACTGTAACCCCTCTGTACATCAACCTTTATAATGATGATTCAAAAATTTTAAAGGAAGGGGCTGGGAAGGTGGCTCAGTGGTAGAGCGCTTGCCTTGCATGCATGAGGCCCTGAGTTCGATTCCTCAGCACCACATAAGCAAAATGAAAAAAGCCGGAAGTGGCGCTGTGGCTCAAGTGGTAGAGCGCTAGCCTTGAACTGAAGAGCTGAGGGACAGTGCCCAGGCCCAGAGTTCAGAGGCCCCACGACCAGACCCAAAAAAAAAAAAAATTTAAAGGAAGTATTGTTCTGTATGGAATCTCCCACCATATAGCTAATATAAACTAATAAAAGATCAAAATAAATAAAACTAGATAAATAATTTGCTGTTCCCTAAGTACCCTAATTGTGTTACCTCTTGAGGCCAAAACTCTCTTCCTTCCTGTTGGTCTTCCAGGTAATCACGGATGATGTTTGTCTTCTGCAGGAAGAGGCCCATTGAGTTAGCACACTCCGAATCTTCACCAACTAAGGGGTCTTCAAACTTGGAGGCGGAGAACAGCTGGGAAAGGCCAATTCCCACCAGCCCGGCAACATAGTGACAGTACTGCAAGAATTATTTTTAAAGTACTTTAACAATGACTTTTTCACTAAAATAGAAGTGCTACATATTATTAGCTACCAAAAAAAAAAAAAAACATAGCTAAGTGCCGGTGCCTCAAGACTATCATCCTAGCTACATAGAAGGCTTAAGAGCTCAGGATGTGGTTCAAAGCCTGCCCAGGCAAGAACCTCCATGAGACTCTTATCTTCTTATCTCCAATTAACCATCAAAAAACTAGAAGTGGTGCTGTGGCTCAAAGTGGTAGTGTGCCAGCCTTGAGCAAAAGAGCTTAGAGACAATGCCCATGCCCTGAGTTCAAGCCCTATTATGGGCATGCACACACACACACACACACACACTCACCACACACAAAGGATCAGAAATGATATAAATAATAAAGATGTACACATATGCAAATATTCCAGAAAGGAAAGAAATTTTATTTGGAAACTCCTGGTATTTATATATTACAGGAAACAATCTAGCCATTTGCTGAAAATTTCACAGCAAGACAGAAACAATTTTTGAAGTTCTGTGTCCCTACATTTAAAACAAGCTAAACTTACTTTGGCTTTGTTTCATGGTAAGATCTCAGGACATAGATAATTTCACTGATAGAGCATTCAACTTTAAGCATCTATTAAGAGCGCATGAAGAGACATCCAACCCGCTCAGATGAGCAGCACAACAAGCAGGGCTAGCGCTGACGCATGCTGTGCTGCTCAGAGCCTCCCGGAAGCGCTATAGGGGCCACTGACCTTATCCCATTCCTGTTTGGAGGTCACATCCTTATTCAAAAACTCTGCCATACCAAAGCCCATTTTCCGGCAAGCGTCAGCAATCACTGTTTGGTACTTCTCAGCCAGATTCCTAAATTCCAGGGAGATCTGAAATGTAAGCCATAAAAACAGGAAATGCAAAATAATGTACTTATATGATACTGAAAAGACACTTATGCAATCTCAGAGGGCAGATAAGCCAGCCCCACTCATCATGAAGCTACAGTGTCTCCCTCAGTCGAAAGCTGCACCTTTAAATCCCAGTTCAGTATCAGAGCTGATATGCCAGATTTCTTTCTTTATAAGCCCAAGCTCTGATATAGAAAAGTAGCATTCACTGGTTTTGAAACATGTTGTTCCTGCAAAGCTATCTTGTTTAAGTTCATGTAAGTGTCTATATGTTATCAAGATACAATATAAAAACAGCATGAGCAGGGCGCTGGTGGCTCATGCCTGTAATCCTAGCTATTCAGGAGGCTGAGATCTGAGGACTGGGGTTCAAAGCCAGCCCAGACTTTGAACTAATAAAACCACCAGAAAACTGGAAGTGGCGCTGTAGCTCAAGTGGTAGAGCACTTGCCTTAAGCTGAAGAGCTCAGAGACAGTGCCCAGGCCCAAAGTTCAAGCCCCATGACTGACAAAAAACAAAACAAAACAAAAAACAGCATGAATCTCATGATTTGTTTATGATGCATTTTTAAGAGGGATCTTGCTATGTTGCTGCACGGTAGCCTCAAACTCACGGTCCTCCTACCCCTGCCAGCTGAGCATCTGAGATTGCAGGCAATGCCACAGCACCTGGCTCCTCCAGGAAGCTTTTGAAAGGAAGTGCTATGAGACTGCCACATGGATGTGTGTGTGTATGCGTGTGTGCCTGAGTGTGTCAGGACACACCTGAGGCCTGGGGGTGTGCCAGTTGCAGAGCACCCCAGCAATTCAAAAGCCTAAAATAATGTGGGCTGAACAACACACGTGAAGCCCCCATAAAAAACCGTGAAATTAATCTGGACTTTGCAGAACAGCTGCGCCTAGTCAAAGCCAAAATCTGATTGGCCTTAACCAACTGGAGCTCTGCAAGCGTACCCCGTTGGGGACGGGCGTTCCTTGCACCACTCCTCCGCGGGACAAGTTCTATTTATAAGAGAACAGACCAATAAGGGCAGGAGGAGGCGCTTAGATTCTGAAAACAAACAAACACTTCCACTTCTGAGTTTGACCTATTCCTCTTTGGAACTTATTACATAAGTATGTAATTCAAGAAATGGAAAGAGGGCTGGGAAGGTGGCTCAGTGGTAAAGCGCTTGCCTTGCATGCATGATGCCCTGGGTTCGATTTCTCAGCACCACATAAGCAAAAAATGAAAAAAGCCAGAAGTGGTGCTGTGGCTCAAGTGGTAGAGCACTAGCCCAGAATTCAGGCCCCACAACCGGAGCCCCCCCACCAAAAAAAAAAAAAAAGAAATGGAAAGAAAATCAGCAGGAAAAAGTGACAAGGCAGAGCTCCGGGCTGCCCCAGCTTCCCCCTCGCCCCCCACCCGGCCGCAAGCTCTGCCCTCGTGACTCCAGGCTTCTTCCACTTTGCAGAGACCCTGCAGTAGACTCCCAGGTCCCAGGATCACTTCTGGCCAAAGACTTCCAGGTGCCCAGGGCTCAGAAGGGGAGGAGCTTAGGCAAACCTATTTGCAAGGCCCCAGGGACCCTTGAGCCTTTGAGGGTGAAAAAGTCAGGGCCTCTGACGTGGGCCAGAGTAACACCCTGGGGGGGGGTGGAGGGGGGGCAGGCTCAACCAGCCATGGCCTGTACCCTTAACCCTAGCAACTGGTCAGCCATTTAAACTGTGTGTCCAGGCTCAAGGAGATGCTGGGTTAGACCTGCCAGCCATTTAAACTGTGTGTCCAGGCTCAAGGAGATGCTGGGTTGACTGCCAGCACACATATGACTTCATGACTTCATCCAAGCCCCATTTTCCTCAATGCAGACTGAGAGGCCTTCTGGCTCGTTCGTTTGTGCTGGTACTGAGGCTTGAACTCAGGGCCTCTTGCTCAGCTTTTCCCTTTAAGGCTAATGCTCCACCACTTGAGGCACAACCTTATTGCCTGCTTTTTGCTGATTAACTGAGCTTAGGGTCTCATGAACTTTTCTGCCCAGGCTGGCTCTCAACTGCCACCCTCAGATCTCAACCTCATAAGCAGCTAGGATTTATAGGCATGAGCCATTGGCACCTGGAAGACCTTCGGCTGTGTTCAAGGAAACCGAAACTTCACAGGTCTTCTCATCCATGAGGATAGAAGGAGTTAACATCTGGCTGCATTCACATCTGGCTGCATTCTGTTCCCTTCTGCCCTATGCCAGGAACAATTTTCTGCTTTCTAACCCTCCTACTCCAAACAGGGAAAATTTAATTTCGTGTTCAAATCTGAAGCTTTCTGGCTAGTAATGGCCATACCTTCTAGTGATGGCCAGGCACAGGAAACCCATTCTCTGGTGACCACGCACCCTGAGACACTAACCTACCAGAGCCCACCTCAGCCCCAGCTCCACTGCCTCACTCCGTTCTCCACAAACTCCTTTGATTCATGGCGAACTGTATTACCCAATATTGGCTTTGGCTTTGGGAAGTGTTCTCAGCTACATGAAATATTTCTGCCCCGAGTCATTCTCAAACCTTCTTTCATAATGGGTGGGTCTCCTGTCTACCCAAATCCTCCTCACTAAGATTGACAGATTAGATTTGTCTCAGTAGCAAAAGCCACATAAGGATGGTTCTTCTCCAAGGGTCAGACTATTGTCTATAGAAAGAAGGGTTTCACACCAGCCAGGAGTGAGAAGAGCAGAGCCAGGATATAAAGCCCCAAGTTCAAGCCCTGGCACTGACATGAGAACCTGTAACACTGCTAAACCAAATTTGTATTTCTAAGCCAGGGAAGCATCATGGGCACATGCACAATGTAAACTTAGGGCTCTCGAGCCACTTTACTCCCATAAAATGGGCAGAAATACTTGCAGAAGGGGCTGGGAAGATAGCTCAGTGGTAGAGGGCTTGCCTTGCATGCCTGAGGCCCTGGGTTCAATTCCTCAGCACCACATAAGCAAAATGAAAAAAAGCTGGAAGTGGTGCTGTGGCTCAAGTGGTAGAGCACTAGCCTTGAGCTGAAGAGCCCAGAGTTCAGGCCCTACAACCAGACTCAAAAAAAAAAAAAAAGAAATACTTGCAGAATACATGTCATATACTATTCTAAGTAACTTATATGCAATTATTCAGTCCTTACGATTCTGACTTCAAAGCCACAAGTGGCAGATCGTCTGCCCTCACACTTCCCCACAGGTGTGACCTGGCTGAGCTACCAGACTCAGGGCACTCAGACACATTACCTACCAACAGATACGCTGGGATTCCAGCTCAGACAGTCTGCAGAGGATCTCAGCTGCAGGAGTTCCCAGCACACCATGCACCCCAGACTTGTTCATCTTTAGGTTCACTCACAAAACCCTACCAATCATCAACACACGTGCACAGAAGGGCTATGGTTCTGTACCGTGGGGAAGTCCTCGAGCACTTGTCGGTCCTTTTCTTTGCTCTCCATGAAGCGCCATTCTGGCTGGTAAAGGAAGGTGTGAAAGCTCTGCAGCAGAGGAACCTTCTTTTCCACGCTGATAGTCATGTCATCCTCCAGAGTGTCCAGAGCTCGGAGCACCAGGTAAAATATGCACACCGCATGGCTGCAAGAACGGGACAAGTGACCACACTGCAACACGCACCTGACATCCAAATCGGGCCTGGAGGCCCAGCGCTTGGGAGACTGAGTCAGGAAACCTTGAATTCAAAGCCATCCTGGGCTACAAAGCAAGACCTTGTCTCCAAATCACCAGCAAAAATGCTGGATGTGGAACTGTGGCTCAGGGCACCAACCTTGAATGAAAAGCAAAGGAACAGCACCCAGGCCTTGAGTTCAAGCCCAGAACAAAACAGACACACAGACAGACGAGCGTGCACGCGCGCGCGCGCACACACACACACACACACACACAAAACTGTAAAAAGATATTCAAACCCTCACAGACTTAATGAAACTTATTTTGGTTTTCCCATCTTAAACTAGAGTAAATAGACTTCAGTAGCTTGATAATAAAAATAAAAAAGTAAACTCCAGGGGGCTGTCACTACAGCTCCCAGAGCGAGTTTCGCAGGTGCTGTGCCAAGGGGGAGCGGTAGGCCAAATGTGTGGATGCGTTAGTATTTTGGAGACAGCGGCGTGAAAGGTCCGGTGACTTCTCAGCACGGGTGCCCTCTGAGGCAGCAAGTGGCCAACTTGCCCTGAACGTGCTGCAAGGGGAAAGCAGCGTGTGGCAAGCACAGGAAAGTGCCTGCGCTGGCTGGGGGCCAGGGTCAGGCGCCAGGCCAGCCGTGGGGGTGGAGAGGGCCAGGCCAGGGGTGCCTGGAAGGGCGATCTCAAGTAAACACGGGGCGCCCCCTCCCCCGCGCCCGCTGGCTCACCGCAGCTCGCCGTCCAGCGCCTGGATGACCGCGGCGAAGCTGCGGCTGGTCTGGTTCAGGTACTTGTAGCAAGTCTTCAGGCTGCTGCTGAGCGAGTCCTGTGGGCAGAGCAGACCGGGGGCGCTGGGCGGCGCGGCGGGGGGCTGCGCGCAGGCGCAGGGCAGGGCCGGGGCCCCAAGGCCGGGCCGCGGGCTCCGCGGGCGGGGCGCATCCTTGGGGGGCCAGGCGCGGCCGCGCCGGGGGGCGCCGGGGCTCAGCACCCACGTGCGCTTCAGCAGGGCCACGGCCTTGGTGCCGCAGGAGGCGGCGGCCATGGGAGCGCTGGGCCGGGAGGGCTGGGCTGCAGGCGCCCGGCCCTGCCCCCTGCGCCCCGCCCCGCCCTGCGCTGCGGCCCCGCCCCGGCCTACAAGGGCTCACCTCCTCCTTGCCCCGGACCCCCAAGGAGGCTGGAGGGGGAGGGGGCAAGGGCCGAGGGCCGCCCCCGTCCCGTCCCTTCCGCTCCCCCCTTTCCTTCCAACCCCCCCCCCACCCCCCGCAGCCGACCGGAGGCCACGCCAGCCCCAACACACACCGGCTGACCGGCCCCAACACACACCGGCTGACCGGCCCCAACACACACCGGCTGACCGGCCCCAACACACACCGGCTGACCGGCCCCAACACACACCGGCTGACCCCAACACACACCGGCTGACCCCAACACACACCGGGCTGGCCCCAACACACACCGGCCGACCCCAACACACACCGGCTGACCCCAACACACACCGGCTGACCCCAACACACACCGGCCGACCCCAACACACACCGGCCGACCCCAACACACACCGGCTGACCGGCCCCAACACACACCGGCTGACCCCAACACACACCGGCCGACCCCAACACACACCGGCTGACCGGCCCCAACACACACCGGCTGACCCCAACACACACCGGCTGGCCGGCCGCTCCGCCGCGGTTCCCGCCCACCCGGGCGCGAAGTGGGGACCCCACTAGTCTTGTACCCCGCGGACCCCGGCTCCACCCTGAAGTCTCCAAGGCTTTCCTCGACAGAAGGGGCCTTCCCACCGCCCGGAGCTCCTGCAGCTCCTGCGTGTCCCCCACTCCGCCCCTCACCTGTGCGCCGGGGACCCCGGGAGCCCGCCCCCCGCCCCCCTCACCTGTGCGCCGGGGACCCCGGGAGCCCGCCCCCCGCCCCCCTCACCTGTGCGCCGGGGACCCCGGGAGCCTGCCCCCCGCCCCCCTCACCTGATCGCGGGACCCGCCCCTCCCACCCCCCCCTCATCTGTGTGCCGGGGACCCAGGGAGGCCGCCCCCCCCACCCCCGTCTTCTGTGCCAGGGGACCAGGGAGGCTGGGACAGTGCCCAGGCCCAGAGTGTAAGCCTTACAACCGACTAAAAAAAATAGGGCATAATCTCATTGGATTTGAACATCAACAATCTCAGGAACTAGTTTAACAGACCCACACACTGCCTCTCCCTGCCTCTCCCCCATGCCTGTGAAGGGTGTAAGTTATACCCTAACACTCTAACCTGTAGTTAACCTTACTCTTCCCCCACCATTTTTTTCCTGTCTCTGTTTCAGTGAACCACCTGCACAGTCCCCTCAAGTGATCAGGAATAGTAATGTTGGCTTAGTGGAGTGGCTTAAGTGGTAGAGCAGCTGCTACACAAACATGATCAAAAAGAAAAAGCAGCAGCAGCCAGGCGCTGGTGGCTCACACCTATAATCCTAGCTTCTCAGGAGGCTGAGACCTGAAGATCATGGCTCAAGGCCAGCCCAGAGCAGGAAAGTCTGTGAGACTCTAACCTCCAATTAACCACCCAAAAACTGGAAGTGGAGCTGTAGTTCCAAGTGGTAGAGTGCTAGCTGCGATCAAGAAAAGCTCATGGACAGTGCCCAGCCCTCAGTTCAAGCCACAGGAGTAATGAAAGAAAAAAAAGGCAGAATACTGTGGGGAAATGTGACTGCTTCATGGAAAACACTACTCTACACATTTCCACGACTTGATTCCCCTGAGTTGTGTGATGGGGGGGGGGGGGGGGGGGGGGTAGGGCAGGTTGAGTCCCTGAGGTTCTCCGTGCCCATCCCTGGGGCCTCCAGATGTTTATTTCTATTGCTGACTGAGGGAGAAAGACAACAGGTACATTCCCCAGAACCCCAGGTAGGAAATCACAGGACCTGGGCATTTGGAGAAGGGAGAGTGGTACAATGCAGGGCTAAGGTGCGAGCTTGGGGCTCTAGTCCAGCGAGGAAAGGCAGTCCCCTTGGGAAAACAGCCACCCACTCACCCACCCACCCCTGCAGCCTCGTTCTGAATAAAACAGATTTGCCTAGCAAGAGAAAACACCAAACCCACCAAGTTCAGAACTGGACTTCAACATCCAGACTAGTAACCACCATTCCTGCCAAATATAATACACATGTTACCTTTCATCCCACACTCCAATGTTAAGAGATTACAGCTGGATACTGGTGGCTCACTCCTCTAATCCTAGCTGCTTAGGAGGCCTAGAGCTGAGCGCCAGCCATAACAAACCACTGGGTAGCTGTGGCTGAGGCTGAGTGTATGTTAACTTTTGGTCTTATTTTGGTCTCATTTCCTTCAGAAATGAAGTATCTCCTCCCCCGTCCCCGGCATTTTTAGGTTGTCAATCTTATGGTATGGGAATTAGAGAAATAACAGCATCTATAAGAAAGGAATGTAAAGTCCAAAAGTGGCCAGACCACATGTGAAAACTGACTCTAAGGAAGGGTCAAAGTCAGTATAGGATCTAGAAAGTGTAATATATAATAACTAAAGAACGTAAAACTGTTGGCCTTTTAATCTTTTTTTTTTTTTTTTTTTTGGCCAGGCCTGGGGCTTGAACTCAGGGCCTGGGTGCTGTCCCTGAGCTTCTTTTGCTCAAAACTATCACTCTATACTACTTGAGCCACAGAGCCACTTCTGGCTTTTTCTGTTTTTGTGGTATTGAGGAATCCAACCCAGGGCTTCATGCATGCTAGGCAAGCACTCTAGACCACTAAGCCACATTCCCAGCCCTGGAGGTGTGAGAGATAGAACTAAACATGAAATGCATTTGAGATATATGTATATATTCCTCACATAAAAAAAAAAGCATGCAATTGACACAGTATTTTCAGGGTACCTGCACTGTCCTGTCCTAGGAGGACAAGTATGGAATTTTCCATTTGTCCTACCATGTCAGTACACAAAGCAAAAGGATTCTGATTTTGGAGCATTTCATATTTTGGAGCATTTCAAGTTTCAAATTAGGTATGTCTAACCTGTAGTGACAATTCCCAAGAGGATCCCAAATAAAAATCTTAAGCATTTCAAGTTTAAAAATTATTCAAGCTAGGTACCAGTAGCTCACCCTGTAATCCTTAGCCTCTCAGAGGGTTAGATCTGAGGATCCTGGTTCAAAGCCAGACCAGGCAGGACAGTCAGTGAGACCCTGGCCTCCACTTAACTACCAGATGCTAAGGGGCCCTCGGGCACTAAGCTAAAGCCCCAGGACTGGCACACAACACACAAAAATCAACAACAGTAAAATGATTCAACAAGGCACAGAAGCTATTTAAACCTGCATTTCCCTTAGGCAGCCCTCCAAAGATTAATCCCTACCTGAGCAAGAAGCAACTTTCTCCCAACTGATTAAGTTTCCTTATGACATTTCCTATGTGCTGGCATTCACCCAAGTTTATCTTGTTTAAACTAAATGAAACTTCTGGAGGCAGTTTTGTTCATAAAGTCAGCTTCACATGTATTGATAAACCAGCTATTATTGTATCCAAGATGATCTCGAATCACATCACCAAATTATTTTTACATGCTACTTCCATTAGCCTGAGGTGTACAATCAAATAAGAGACTTGTATATCTGAATAGAGCTTTGGGAGCATTAAGTCAATGCGCAAGTAACACAATCCAAGCCTGAGTTGTAAGCTTGTTGTAAGGTGAAACACAGCTAGTAATAAAAGCCATTGGTGTGGGGCTGTGGCGGCTCAGGTCGCAGAGCACCTGTTTCTACCTGAGTTCAAATCCCAGTAACCAACTCTCACACCTACGTTCTACTCCTTTCAGTTTCAAACTTCTTCAGTCTGCTTATGCACACATTACACACACATAGGTGCTAGAGGAAACACATCAGTGTGATGCCTTCCTACATTTTCTTTTTTGTTGTTGTTTGGCAGGGTCCCACTATGTAATTGGGTCTGGCCTTGAACTTACCTCATAGCCCAGAATGGCTGGGAACTCAAGACCCTCCTGCCTGCATCGATCGTGCAGGTGTTTAAACTACAGGTGTCCACCACCAGACCCAGTCCTGAACAACTTTATAACACCTAATGGTTCTGACAAGATGGTAAACTCTGACTGTCTTGCTTGTCTGTTTACTATCTGCCATCCACAGGGCAGTAGCATGGGAACAGGTGTTCTGGATGTCATCTGAATGGTCACTAGAGGTGGCCTGGGCTGGGGCTAGACCTTAAAGGCTGAGGATTCTAAGTAATGAGATAAAAATAAAGCCATTTCCTTCAGATAGAAAACTCAAGTGTTCGAATTTAAAAAGAAACAAACAATAAAGGGTACCCCCAAACAAAGTACAGTTTTTATCCCATGGGGATAAAAACAAGCATGAAACCCTTCTGCCGGCGCCGGGTCATTCAGTGACTGCACAAGAACCGCTCCTTCGGAAGCCGTTAGGGACAGGCACCGACGCCAGGCAGCTGAGACACCACCAGCAGGTCCTGGTCTTCAGGCTGCGCACCTAATCCACCGGGGGAACACTTCCTCCCTCCGTACCGCCCGCCCGCCGCGGCCTCCCTCAGGTCTTTAGGTCCCAGGGCTCCCGCCGGCGACCCACCTTCCCATCGAATCTGGAGGCCGGGCACCGGCGGGCACCTGCGCGCCGCGAGCGGAAAGCGACGCCGCCTCTCCGCCAGGCCCACGGCTCGGCGGGGCGGGCAGGGGAGGGGGCCCGGCTGGCCCCCAGCCCTCCCCCTCGCCCCCAGCCCTCCCCCTCGCCCCCCCCGCCCTCCATGTCATCTCCCTCCGGCCCCCTGCTCTTCCCCTCCGCCCCCATGTCATCCCCCTCGGCCCCCCAGGCCCTCGCCCCCCACGCCATGTCATCCCCCTTGCCCCCCTGCTCTTCCCCTCCGCCCCCATGTCATCCCCCTCCGCCCCCATGTCCTCCCCCTCGCCCCCCCGCCCTCGCCCCCCACGCCCCTCCCCCACGCCCCCATGTCATCCCCCTCGCCCCCCGTCCTCCCCCTCTGCCCCCATGTCATCCCCCTCGCCCCCCGTCC